TCTCCTATAACAAGGGCTCAGCAAGAGAACCGGAGTCTGGGTGTGCTGAAGGCTCAGTTGGGGGTGGGGTGGAGATTCCACTCTGATTCATAGCAAGGACTTTCCATCAGTCCGACCCAGGCACTTCCTGGACCCTAGATATGTCTCTCAGAAGTTTGACGCTGTTGCTATGTCCTCTGTGTTCCAAATCACTAGTTTCCTATGACTAATTTCAGGAACAAGGCTGTTAAACACAAGGATTTTTAGAAAGAGCCACAGGGATAGCAATTCTACCTGGAACTGTGAGCAGCCAACACAAAAGGCAACCAGTAAAATAAAAAGTGCTGAGGTTGACACCGACGCCCACATTGTCCACTCTTGGCCCGGACACCAAACGGCTTCCTCTCTGAGGGGACAGCACACTGACTGGTTCTGAGTAATGAAAAGCCACGCCAGGCACGGTTCAGAGGGGAATGTGATTTTCACAACTGCCTGGACGATTTATGCAGGAGGCGGCCTTTAAAAGTACGAAGGGACGAAGAGCTGCCCTGAGAATGCAGTGCTTATGCTGGGCGGGCTGAAACCGAGCACTGTCTCCCCGACAAGGCAGCAGTGGAATGCTCCTCCCACCCAGAGCTCACCGAGAAGCCGTCTCCCACCAGGGGAGTCCGTCTATGAACTGCCAGGGGCAAAAAACCCTCCATTTTTCTGAGATCTAGTCCCCTGTGTGTGAAAGCGGGCGTGGGCAACCCCCACAGCGCCTGATGGGGAAGAACTGCTTGTTTGGCCAAAACAACGGCATCTCCCATGTCCCCTCAAAGCTAGTCGACCCCCCCAATTACTCTGAGAGGAAATACCAAATGGAGCAAGGCCTTCTGGCTACTTGTGCATTCACAGACTTTACTCTATTTCTACCAACTACTTCTTAGTCCTCATCGTTTTGTTTAAAAGGCAGCTTAAAAAAAGGAACTGCCTACTGACCTGACTCATTCATCTGGCAAGGCGAAGGCATCCTGCCTTTCAGTACTGTACCCCCCACCCCCCACATTAGGAGAGGCCGACACTGGCTAACAGGAACTAAAACCATTCACTTCAAAATATTTTGAAAAATATTCTCTTATTTTGGGACATATTTATATTTTAGCAGCAAATAAACTTTTTTTTGTGTGATTGCTTTGCATCAGACTCCGCTGTGTTGCTGCAGGGGGAGGAGAGAAGGCACTCTGCAGAGCTGATTCCCTAAGCGAAGGCCACAGTGAGGGTCTTAGTACAAACTGAAATCCAGATGCGAATACTGTCGCTGAAATCCATCATGCTACAGAGAAAGGCCCTAGAAAAACAGGAAGCTGCTTTAAGCGCCCAGTATTTGGGATCACTGTTTCCAAGGAGAAACACTGAAAGTGTGGGCTTTTCATGCGCTGAAGGAAATACGATTTTAATTTGTATGACTCGGCAACCAAATAGTGGGCAGCCTTGAATTTCTTCCTTCCCCAAATAACAGCAAAGGCATGACTCCACGCCTGCCAACCAGGGCCAGCTTCCCCTCCTGAGTCTGTAGCTACTGCCCAGGCGCCCGCAGGTGTGAGGTCACAGCGCCGTGTCCGCACGCAGAGCTCACACGTCTCCGGGATAAAGCACTCTTTGGTGGAACTCGGGCTTACCAGGTAACGTCACACAGTGTCACAAGCGTTACAGTGAAGAGGGTGACACCAAACAGAATCGATCACTGAGGACCGTTTCGGCAGGGCCTGTTCCATCTCTGTACATTCGGGCGCAGGGCGAACGGGAAATAAATAGGTGAAAGGCCTCCGTCAGACCTGTCCTCCGAGGCCAGCAGCGAGCGCGGCCACCACAGGGACACACGCACCAGAGCGCCAGCTCCCGCCGCGCGCCCTGGTGTTTACACCTGAGACTAAGTGTGCAGCAGCTGCTCCACGTGGGCGTGTCTACAAACGGCGAGCCGACTGTCTTCCGGTCCCACTTGTCCCCGAGCCCGCGCAGCTATTTAAACTCCAGGGGACAGTTTCTTCACTGAACAAGCTTCTTAGGTGGAAAGCAGCTAAGGCTTTTGCAATTTTGTTTAGTTTCCAAATAAATTGTGCTAAGTCCTGATGTGGTTCTGTTCCCAGTCTTCCTTCAGTTCTGGTCACAGGTTTCTACTTAACGCAACACTGTCTTAGTCCTCGAAATGGGGGGACTAGGGGAGAAAGAAAAGGACTTTACCATGAAGGTTCTCAAGTGTGGCACAGGCAGTTATTAAAGACAAGGAAGGCAACATAATAAAAAATACTGACATGCTAA